TATTTCTAATGGTAAGAAGATACTGATCGTCTGTTACTGTGAAACGTGAGTCTTTAAATTGTTCAGTGACTGTTATTGTACCAAGTATTACTGCAGCAACCATTTGGACCATTTGTCCAAGAGGCTGCTTATACCAACGCAAGATTTTGTTTTCCGTGTCAGAGACTGGACATGTGAAAGTGGCATTGTCACCAAGTTCAACCGCATTCAAAGAGATCAGGTGAGGAACCACTGCAGTTTGAGCCAGAGCTGAAGAAAAGAGACAAACAGTTACAACACACGAAGAAAAAATACATTAAAAATCTGCCATATAAAGATTATTACAGGGCCTCGCCAAAAATATATTGCTATTTTTTTCACACAGTAAACATAGAACAAGTGGTATTTATGTCACACTAGGTAAGTCGCGTACTTACACACAAGAATCAAAGCAGCCAATCTTCCGATCATTGTGGTACAGCACCCTTCTCTTGCACTACTGACATCTTTCCACCCAAAGAGGTTTGATCACAAGATCACCGCAGTTTACAGAGAAGAGGACATACTGATTGGCTGAAATGTACTCCCCCCTAAACTTGGCAAACACACTTTTGCAATTCAACCAAAATGGGCACACGGGGTTTTTTTCTATTGAGTGTAAGCTCTCAGGTTTTAGCTTTGTTTAGCGCTGGGACACTGGAAGCTTCCTAACATCTGTAAACCAGTGTAAAACAAATTTGATTTTATTCAAACAAAATTAAGAAAAAAAAGGTAAAGTCTAATGTAAAATAATCAATAAACCATTTTGTTTTTTAATATTGTATTTCTGTGGCTAGCTAATGAGAAAATGTAAACAAGACAATTAAGTTCATTATTCAGTTGTTTCTTTGTGCTACACTATTAAACACACCCTGAATCAATCTCTGTTGACTGAATAGAGATTAAATTCATATATGTTTTTTTAACTCTTGCCAAGAAGGAAATAATTATATTTTGCAAAAGGCTGATGTATCTTCATAAAAACTGCAAGCTACACTGTGTTTTAAAAAAATGAAAAGCAGACACAGTTCATATGGTCATGTACACAGACTAAAACAGAGGGTCAAACAGAGAGAAAAGACCCTTTGAATTTATACCTGAGCTTGAAAGCCTGACCACAGCAATGCTTAAGTTTCCATGCATCACAGACTGTGAGCAACAGTGGCGTGCTGTGACTTCTACAGATAGGCAAGCAGAGATAAAGGATCAACAAACCACCCCCACACCCTCCCACCACCTTTTCACGACAGTAGTAGTAGAAACAGCAAATCTCACTTAATTTCAGGGTCATGTCTGATGATTTTGTGCAACCTGTCTTTCCTGTAAGTTTCTCTCTTGCATCTTGCTGCTCTCTGCCTGGACATCTCCACCTTTATGTCTGAAGAAGTATTAGGATTATCAGTTTGAACTGACAGTCAACATATCAAATGTGCAGTATAGAGAAAAAATATCAACAACAAAAAAAACAAACACTAACTGACAATTACACTCCAGTGACAAACTTCTCAAGCAACACTGTTTTCATCATGGCTGATGTCACGAGAATACTTCAGACCAGTTACACGTTAGTACAACAATGCAATTTGAAAGTTTTGAAGAAGAGGTGATGCCAGTGCAGGGTTTCTATCGCAATGCCAGGTCAACATGAAGCATCTCATACGTGACAACATTGGCTTCATTACAACTAATCCGACATTTCAGATGTTGTGTTGTCAAGGGACGTCTGAACTGAGACACTGGAGCCTGTGATGCACCACTGTGCTTCTAATGGTAGCTTGCAAGAGGGCCTGTCACGCTGCAGCTACTATCAACATTGTTTTGATTATATTTATGTGATGTATTGAAACAAATATAAAATGTCAGGGTTAGGGTAAGGGTTAGCCTGTTTATTTATTAATGTCAAGAATAACACAAAAAAGTTAAATAAAAATTAACTAATTTCCATTGTGGTCCATATGAGCACAATAGAGAGAGTTTCTATGGATTTCTGAGAATTTCTATGTTAATTATAGCCATGCACATTAGAATGAATGAATGAATGAATGAAACTTGATTTATCCCAGTGTACTGTTCTCTTTTGTGCAGCAGTACTCATGAGCACCCAGGGGCAATACAAAAAGACCATCCACTTCTTTTGCTGTGTCTTTTGCCCTCGTCTCTATCCATTGTGATATTTACCAACAACTCCTAGTGGCAAACAATCAAACAACAACCACAGAGATAAACAGCTAACCATTCCCGTGACGTCACCTGACAAATAGCTACAGTTTGTAAACCAAGTGTAAGATATAGAGACTCTAGTAGTCGCCTGACTCATTTGTAAGAAGTGTGTTTCAAGGCTAGAAGTCTTTGCAGATTGCATTGAGTGTCTGGGAGTTAATCTGCCGCATAGCTATTAGTTAGCAGACTTGCTAATGGCATGCTAGCATTAATGTATGGACTTTGAAGCCTGCACACTGCACCAGACAGCGCACTGTGTTAGCAAAGAAGCACAGTTGCATCTCTGGTGTTGATCGGGGCCTGTTTCCTTTTCTCGCTGCAACTGAGACCGAGGTTGGATTGGATTTTTTTTTTTCTTCCATCACCACCGGGACTCGTTAGTGGGACTGTGGCGGGAACAGGAGACTGTTGAACTGCTGACCAGTAACTGGTGTGAGTGAAGATGCCATCAGTACAGCTGTAAGTTACCACACACACATCTCACCCAAACTGCATTCAGAGTATAACCAGTAAATTGTTGTTGTTGTTGTTGTTGTTGTTGTTGTTGTTGATTCATGCATCATTCATGCCATCGTAAACTCAGAGTATTTCCTGCCAGGTCGTTTCATTTTTCCATTATCTTGGTAGAAAAGGGGCTGTTGTGTTTTCTTTTGTTTGTTTGTTTGTTTGTTTGTTTGTTTTTGTTTTTGATTGTCTTAAGTGATGCCTCAGAATGACTCTGAAGGATTTTATCTTACTTCATTTAAATTCTTGGTAAATGATTTCACCTCATTTTCCTCTTTGTTGGTTTAATAGAAGTAGGATAAAGTGAAAGCTGAGGGTCAACAAGAACCCAGGCCGCTGGATCTCATGGTAGTTTATTCTGGGAAAGCGCTTCATGTAGTTTATGTAGTTTTGTACTTGCAGTTAATGTAGGAACAAAGCTTCCTTTAAAAAGAGAAATATTTGCATTGTCCCTCTTGGTTTTTCATGAGTGGAGTTTAACTGGATATCGCTCCAGGTTCACATGGGTCCCAGTAATATCGTGAACTCTGATTTGTCCTTTGAGTTTCTGTGAAAGCCCAGAAACTGATAGTGCTCTGCTACTGCCTTTCACCTAATGCATGTTGGGATAAGCTTCTGCCCAGCTGACGTGTTTCATTACAGATGACTGACAGGCAGAGTGGGCGGGTCATTACTGATGTTGAGGGGCACCTGGATTGGCCGGTCCTTCCTGCTTTTTGGCTTCACTGATGTCAGCGTTGGCGGTTAGACCATCTCTTTGGTCCTGACTGAAATATCACGGCAGCTGTTAGATGGATTGCCATGGCATTTTAAACAGATAATTATAGTCCCCAGAGGATGAATCCTAATCAGTATGATGAAACTCTGACTTTTTCACTACTGTCACCAGCAGGCTGGCATGCAATTTTGAGTGAAATGTCTCAATAGCTGTTGTAGCAAAATCAACAGATACAGTATGTTGAGTTTACAATATCTCTCCTACAAGACCTTCTGTGTTTAAAGTGTCAGATTTGGGAACCCATCATGAGAACTAAATTTCACACAACAAACAGATGCTGCTGGTGTTGTTTCATGTTCTTAATATGGAAAGTTTAGTTGAATTTCTTTCCACTGTGGTTGTACAGTGAAACAGCAACATTACAAAAGGCCAATCAGGTCGCTCTGAGATCGTTCCCTCCCATTTGCTATGACTACATGAAGTTGAATCTTGTTATAGTAGGGTCTAAATTAACTGCTGTCCCAGCTGGTGAAATCGGAGAATGCTGATCATAATATATATGCTGCTCATGCTCAAAATCGGGCGTAAGTATTATTCCAGAAATATTTAAAATACATTGCGGTCTTTTTGCATTAATATAGAGAAGGCATATGACTGTTTCCCTGTCGTTAATCATTCCTCTGTCTTTATTTTATTTTCAGGATGCGCAGATGAACACATCTTCGAGACAAAGACTGTTAATGTTGGAGAAACTGTGACTCTGACATGTACCCGCCAGGGAACTTCGAAGTCTGCACGCTTATTTTGGATCAGGCTTGTTTCTGGAACATTTCCAGAAGGTTTAGGAGGACAAGTTACTTACTTTTCTTTTGATGAAAACAGTGTTAAGGAAACTCATCACACAGAAGCAAAACAAAAGCTTGAAAAATTGGAAAAGCATATTTCCAAAGCACAGTTCAGCGACACTGCAATCTACTACTGCCTACAAGTAGAAAAACTTGACATTACATTTCTGAAAGGAATATTTCTGAGAGTCAAAGGTAAATCCAGCAAAAACAGCAAAAGATTCCAGATGTCATAAGAATCATAGCATTATACATCGTTTATAAGAGCAGTTTTACTCACTTTCTTACTTGTATATATTTAGTTAATGCATTGTATGTTTACATAATTCATATAAAAGTGACCAGACTTTGTCTTTTGTTTATGAATAAACAATTGTAATATATATGCCCCTCCTTCAATGTATCCTCAATGAACTGAATAAAACACGTTTATTTTTTGTTTTTTTAATTTCATAGAGCCAGAACCTGAGATCATTGCCATCACAGAAGACTTTGTATCTGATCCAGTCCGTCCAGAAGACTCAGCGACTCTCCGGTGTTCAGTCCTCTTCGACCTTAAGAGGAAAACGTGTCCAGTAGATCACAGAGTGTACTGGTTCAGAGCCGGAGCAGATGAATCTCATCCCAGTTTAATTTATGCTCATGAAAACACTGTGAATCAGTGTGAAAAGAATCCTGAAGCTCAGTCGACACAGAAATGTGTCTACAACTTCTCAAAGATCGTCAGCTCCTCTGATGCTGGGACTCATTACTGCGCTGTGGCCACGTGTGGAGAGATATTATTTGGAAATGGAACAAAAGTGGACATTGAAGGTAACAGCACCATATTTCTATATAATGAGAAAATTATCATCATTTTATTAACATACTATCAAATATCGTCAATTTTTTTTTGCTATTTCTTAACTTTAATATTTTCTTTATTTAATGTTTCAGTTGTCGACACGTGTGATTCACAAAAGGACAATACAATTGTCCTTCTGTTGTTTGCTGCTTTGGCTGTAAGTCTGATTGTTACAGCCTTCCTTGTTTGTGCCATCACAATGAAATCTTGTGGTTGTTGCAACGGTAAGAAAAGTTGCTCATATATCAATCTATTGAACTGTTATAAACTGTCATCATTTGATTCACATTTGACCTGTGTGTAAGCAAACTTCATTCATCTTTAAAAAAAAAAAAAGTCAGATCCAGTGAATCATTTTTTACTGTGACTTATTCTTTATTAAAATAGCTGCCGTCAGTCTGCAAACAAATGCTGCAGCAGCCAGTGGTAATCATCAAAGTCAGCAGGTAAAGAATATAAAGATGTAGCTATAAAATAATTATCAGATATTTTTATATGTACATGTATTGAAATCAATCCTCTCATTTTCAATTGGTGCATTTTTTTTCCTCAGAGAAATGAGGACTCTCTGGTTTATTCTACACCAAACAAGACCATGAGAAAAGCTGGGCAAGCAGGGAGAAGGAAAGCAACAGCAAAGGAAGAGACGATCTATACTGATGTCAGGACTTTTGTGATAGAATAACAGTTCAAACACTGGCTTTCATAATTGATGGTACTAAAAAGAAATTTATGATGCACAATATGCCAGAAAAATACCAGGGAAGCAGCACTGGTGCTTGCATTTTACCTCTGAACTTGTTAACATAATATTATACTTTGGATAAATTTTATGTTTATGCATCATTTTTATATATTTTGGACAAATTGTTTGCAGACATTGAATAATATTTTTGAGTTCAGTTAGTTCAGAAAAAGAAATAAACAATTATGATGCAAAAATAACATTTAATACTTCAGCATCTCAACCTTATAATTTTTTGTCCTTTATTGTGTGTATTTTATTGGGTTTTCAAAGATTTTCAAGATCTTGCAGCGTTACCTTTCTTGTTATACAGTTTTATTATAGTTTCATTTCCTGCCGAGCCCTTCAGCTCCGTATCAGCGCAATACAAAAACTTGTACTAAAGGGAATTTGTCATGTATGAACATGTGTTGTTTCATTTATTAATAAACAAACTTCCACATCTAAAATATAGCCTTATTTATTTAAAGTGAAGTATAAAGTATGTGATTATTTTGAAAAGACTTTTAGTTGCAGTCACTTCAGGAAGCAACTGGTGTACAAGTATCGATTGAATATCTTGTTTAATGTATGCAACACAGAACTATAACATTTTAAAAGCAATAACTCAGGAGGTTCAAAGGCCATAATGATTTTACATCTACTTTCTTTTTCTTTTTGTATTTTAGAAAACAGGCTGATCTGTTAACACAAAAATCCCAATAACCTTTCATTACTGAGAACCTGTTCTTCATTTTGCATATGCCCCATGCAAACTATTTGTTCATGCACATTTTCTCTAAAACTGGCGTTAGTCTTGTTCCTTTTTCTTTTTCATACAGATGTAAAGCGATGATAGCCACCATGACGACTGTTATTAGTGCTGAAAAACAGGTTTCATGAAAAAGAAAATGTTCCAAAAGCAAACATCACACAAAAAAGGCATGTGTGATGAAAAGTAAACTGACAGCTTCAGAGTCAAAAGATTAAGTGAATGTGAACTATGCCTAACAAAATACAAAGCACTTCAAGACCAGTGTGACAGGAAGCACCCTTTTGAATCTATTTTGCCATAACCAATCAGATGCATTGGATGGTCTGACCTCACAATTATCTCATATCCTTCCCTCACTGAAATACAAATCTCCTAACAAGAGACATTGTCAGTGTGATGGTGTTGTGGGTCACGCTGCTTGTTCTTCATCATGGATGTTAGTGTGTTTTTATTCTGTTTTCTCTACCAGTTTGTTGTGCCAGCTGCATCATAACTTTTAGACATTGTACAATAATCTTTATTGAATGTATTGTATGATTTCTTTCGATTCAGATTCACTGGTTCCAGTGATCACATTTCAGCTCGGTGAACCCGTGACCTTAACATGGGCTCTGCCTAATATTGAGATTGGCAGCAGATGATTCCGCTGGTACAAGCAAAGTGCCGGAGATACTCTGAAATTAATTGTGTCAGTGTTGACATCTATAAAATCTCAGTATGCACCAGAGTTTTCTGAATCCACATTGGAGGTAAATATTGACAAGAAATTTATCATCCTGATAGGCTGTGAGGATGACTCAAGAAGATGAGGGAATGTATCACTGTACAATCACAGAGTGGATAAAACAGAATAAAGTGGGACATATTTGTAAGTGAAAGGTAATAATGTGATCTATTTTTGCATACTTTTCCAGTGTCTCTAATCATATGTTTTAATTCTCTGAATATGTTGGGATGTCTTAAATTTTTAACTCAGATATATACCACTCAGGAAACTCTCAGAGGACATTAAACTATGCTGTTGTTCAGCGGCTGACTGTGATCCAGTCCGTCCAGGAGACTCAGTGACTCTGCAGAGTTCAGTCCTCTCTGACCCTGAGACTAAGACGTGTCCAGGAGACAGTGTGTACTGGTTCAGAGCCGGATCAGGTAAATCTCATCCAGGCATCATCTACACTGATGGAAATGAATGTGAGAAAAGATCTGATTCTCTGAAAACCTGCGTTTATCACTTCCCTAAAAACATCAGCTCCTCTGACTCTGGGACATATTACTGTGCTGTAGCCACATGTGGAGAGATATTATTTGGAGATGGAACAAAACTGGATCAAGATATTATTATTTTTCTTATTATCTGTATTATTGTTGTGTTAATTTGGAAATGTGCACATTCTAATTTCAGATTATACATTAGAATCCATAAGAACCACTAGGATGTAAAATCATCTTATCGGTAGCTGACACTAAACATCATTTACTTTTACGAATTGTTTCTCTCTTTTCATGATGTTTCAGGAACCTGCATGTGGTCACAGACGGCCAGTGCAGTTATATTTCTGCTGTGTGCTATCTTGGTTTTAAGTCTGATTGTTATAGCCTCCCTCATTTGTGTCATCAAGACAAACAAGTGCAACTGCTTCAACGGTAGTAGAAGTTAGTCATGGTTCTCTATCCAAAAGTATTACATTCAAACCACTGCATCCTGATTGACTGGTACCGGTGTGAATCTTGTTTAGACACAGAGACCACAGATCTGTTGTAAGTAAATTTCTATAGAGTTTATGCTATTTGCTTTTTTTTTCTTTTTGGTTTATTGTTTTTGTTATTGTTTTGACCATTAAAACTATTTGTGAACGTGATTTCGAGCTGCTGTGGACATGTCATTGTGTTGGTTTCCTTGAGATTTACAAATGCCAGAATAACTGAAATCCATCCGTCGCTTACATAAACAGTAGTTTATCAAGTTTTGAACTTTGACAGCCTCAGAGGGATTTAACAGGATTACTTGCCATCTATAGTTTTCTAGAAGCATGTTGCATATGTTCCATGTGAACATTTTTTAAAAGCAAAATTCAGTAACCTTCAGTGTGGATCTTTTCAATAAAAACTACTGTTGACAGGTGAACCCCCACCCTAAGGTGACCTAAGGTGATAACCTCTATAGGGAGTTGTTCTGCCTATAGAGAGGGGTTTTGCTGCTTGTGGTAATATGCAACAGAGTATGCACACTCTTGTGGTGACCCTCTCTTCTTCCTTCCTCTTTTCACTCTTCTTGCAGAGAAATCCAGTGCTGCATAGTTCACTGCCTCTTCTTCACCATCCTGCAAAAAATATAATATATATTATAAATATATAATGTTTGTGTTTATTCAGGGATAAGGGCTGTAACATCAAGACCAGTTAGGGATCAGGTCTAAAGTATAAACTTAGAACATAAGGGGCAGGATTGCTTTACAATGAAATTACATCATCAGTATTATTACATTTGTACCTTTTATCTCTATGCCCATTAAACTTTATCATATAGTAAAAGACATTATGTTGTAGCTGCAAGGTAATATAAGACAAATAAGACAACACACCACCATATATTTACCAGATCATTTGACTGATCCACAGTTGACTCGTCATGTCCACGATGATGGGAAAAACTCATTGCTCCTGTTAAAAAAAACAAAACAAAAAAGCCTTCACATTGAGTGTAAACATGAGGACTATGGTTATTGCTGTCGTAGTGTAGCGCTGATTACTCTTGGCGTTAACTATAAACGTATTTCTTGCTGTATGAACCTACTTTCGGGATGTCAGTGGAGCAGTGACACAGGGACAGTATCATGGGTAACCAGAACCACTTTAATGTCCGGTTAAACGGTAGTACAACTGAACACCGATCACATCCGTGATACATGACCCTGCTGCCTTACATCATATCACTCCGCCAGTCTTAACCATCACTAACCATACAGGCAATGTGGAGTATGTAGTTCCCAATCTAAATCAAGGAACAGAATACAATATACAGTATATGTACTGTTTATGAGTTACAGTAATTTAAACATTATTTAAATTATTCCAATTCTCCAATAAACCTGAGAAAAAATAAGGTAATCTACAGAATAAATCTTTATGATTAAATCTCATATTAAAATAGCATTGTGTGTTACTGTCGACCTTTCATTACGATAACAGGACGAATGAACAAGGGACATATTTTCAGTTTTTGGCTTTACATTAAAGAAAAAAACCTGTAACGTGTTCAATGCAGCTTGTGACATGTAAATATGGGAAAATATAGATTTTCTATTTACATTGAAATGCTGTGCTATAGGCCTAAAATATTTATGGAAGTTACAAGCTGTTATTATTAATGTAATTTCATACGTTCGGGCTCTTAAAGCGACGCCTCGAAAGCATAACCGAAATCAAAAGTTGAGTACGGTGAACTTACCTTTACAATGTTTGCAAACTGTCCTTTGATTTATGTAGAAAATAAGGATGCCAACCACAGTCACGCAGCAGGCCAACAGCCCTCCAAGAACAAGGACAACTGGGTCCAGCTCTGATCCTGAATCTAAACATTTTCCAAAAGACATTAAGAATTGTTAAGATATCGACATTTGGGAGTAATCATTGGTTTTTTGAACGCCAAGCAATGGCATTTAGAAAACTAATGATCTTCAATATGATGTTTAATCAAAAATATTTTTATCTGAGTTCTGAGGTAAAGACCTGACATATAGTAGAGAACAGTGTTTGAGTCATTGATTAAAGGTAACTTGAAATGGAATAAGGCACATACGTTTCCAGGAGGAAAAACAACGTATCATGTAATTATTGTGACTGAATGAGTTAATTTTCAATGTTTTTGCACAACAAATGTTTTAGGTCTCAAATGTCTAGATGGAAAAGTTAGTAAATTTAGTTATCCTCCTGAAACCAACAGACTAATCATCTTGATATTCATTTACATTTACACTTAAAAAAAAAAAAAAAAGCTAAATGAAATCACACAAGACTCATTTATGATTCAAATACAATTGTAAATACGTACTTGTCTCCACTTTAGTTCCTTCACCAAACAGGATCTCTCCACATGTGACCACAGCACAGTAGTACGTCCCAGCATCAGAGGAGTTCTGTATAGTTTTGGACAAACTGTAGACACAGCTCCTTTCCTCTTGTTCATCACTCCTGTTGCTGTGAGTGTAAATGATGCCTGGATGAAATCCTCCTGATCCAGCTCTGAACCAGTGCACACTGTGTTCACCTGGACACTGGGCTCTGCTCTCTTTGTTCGTGTAGAGAAGTGAACACTGGAGAGTCATTGAGGCTCCCAGCTGGACTGATGCTGTCTCCGGACTTTGATGCACGTAGACATGTTTCTGCTGTTTATGATCTGTGTGATTCAGTAAAAAGGAGTTAAAAGTATTTCACACTCTAAACTGTTTCATTCACATCAGCACAAACACCAAAAGTATAGGATATTTTACCAGTCACAGACAAGAATCTGCCATTGTTGAAAGTCTGTAAATACGATGTTCCACTTTGACAGAAGTACGTTGCTTCGTCCTCTTTGCTGACATTTCTGATGGTAAGAAGATACTGATCATCTCCTTTTGTTGCTGTGAAACGTGTGTCTTTAAATTTTTCACTAACTGTTATTTTGCCCAAGACTGCATCAGCAACATTTTGGGCCATATGTCCAAGAGGCTGCTTATACCAGGAGAATTTTTCTTTCATGTCAGAGACTTGACATTCAAAAGTAACACTCTCACCAAGTTTAACAACAGTCAAAGAGATCAGGTGAGAAACCTCTGCAGTTTGAGTCCGAGCTGAAGAAAAGAAGCAAACAAAAACAAATTACAACATGAGAAGAGAAAATAAATAAAAAATGAAAAAATATGTACCTGAAAGTTATTATTACAGGGCCTCGCCTAAAATATATGACTATGTTTAAATATAATCAAACAACAGTTTGACTATATTTAAACATAGGTATTTTTGTCACACTAGGTAAGTCGTGTACTTACACACTGTGCTAAGAAGAATCAAAGCAGCCAGTTGTCCAATCATTGTGGTACAGCACCTTTCTCTTGTGCTACTGATGTCTTCCTACCTGAATGGAAGATTTGGTCACAAGATCATACAGAGAAGAAATCAGTGATTGGCTGAAATGAAGAAAAATAACCTCCCCCCCTACATTTACCAAACCTATGATCCATTTTCATTTAATAAGAGATATACATGTAGCTACTTATTTTTTTTTTGTATTATCTTCAAAAGGTGTCATTCTGACCACTTAATCATTCTTGTTTCCTGATAACTGTCTTTTAGATGGAGCAATATTGGTATTGTTCAGTGCAGCCCAGATGGACCCACACACTTTTTTTACTAGACCCTAATCATTTTCGGATGTGGTGGTGGCTAGTTTGCCAACTAATGAGATGCAGCATGTAAAATGTGACACTATTGGAGTTGCTGAAAGCTGTATTTTCCTCTGTCTGTGTAAGCTGGCTGTTTTTCTTCCACTCTTTGTACTTATCTAGGTCAAACTTATCCTGGGCTTTAGGTCAAGTGGGATAAATACTTTTCTTAAAAACGGTTGATATTTGAACCTCCACATAAGGATTTTTTCAAATCATGTTAGCTGCAGTGTGGGTGGTGGGTCTGTGCGTTTCAGGGAAGGTTGCAGGGCAAAGGTGAGAGGAAATGTGACCAAAAGCACACAGAAAATCAAGTGATGTGGAGGATTCAAAGGTAAATTTGAGAGAGGCAGAGAGACGGAGCTCTTAAGAAAGTGCAATTTGTCATTAAGACAAGGTAATTCAATTTCATCAACCTTAACATTACTGAGGACCCTTATAATGAGCTGCACCAATGATGATTCTATTAGAATAGCATTGAGAAAATGAACAGCATGTTTATTTTCTCATGTTTCTGAGTAGTTTCTTCTGTGCAAATGGAAAAATTAATGTTAAACTGAAGGAGTTTTTCCACATAAGAGACTCAAATGTCTCCTGATCTACTGGCAGTGAAGTCAAGAGCATGTTTACTTGATTGACAATGGCAGTTTTTTTTGACAAAAGTCTGTCCATATTGTATTTTATGAGTCACTCTGCTTTGTAAACCAGTCTTTCTAACCCAGATCTGGTTTCTTGATTGCTCCCAGATGACTCAGGTTCATAGACCTCACATTAACCATGGGCCTCAACCAGGACAATGTTTTCACCTGTATGAAACTGGTCGTTTCAGCTTTGGTTCCCATTTATGCCATGTGCACATAGACACAAAGTGAGAGACAGAGAGAGAGAGAGAGAGAGAGACTAGTAGATATACAGTAGGTGGTTTGACATTGAACTGCTGTGTATTTGTTCACCACAACGACCCGCAACTATAGACAGAAGCATAGCAAGCTACATGGGGCGTGTTTTATCTTTTTAGATACAATTACTGTTTCGTTGTTAAAAAAATGTACCGTGTTAAAAAATGCCAGGGGACAGCTACTAACATTAATAAACTCCTCCGTCTCTCTGCATGACTGCCTTGAGAACAACAAGCGAAACCACAAGCAGCAGCTACTCTCTCACAGATGCAGGTTGTGGTGGGCCATTTCTCCACCCTCTGACCAGCCACTGAAGCTGTTTACTCAGAACAGACCTGACTATGAGCTTCAACAGGATATGAAGCGAGGGAAGAGCTACATAAGCTTCAGCAGGCTAATTCTAGTTGAACAGTTGTTTTAGTTTTGTTAATGTGCTCATTCAAAGTACAAATGAGGTGTGTGTCCATCCCTCCTGTACCTTTTAACTACATACTGTGGTTGTATTCAATTGGCCTTTTTAAAAACTTGAAAACAGCGGTACAAACCCAGCTTCATTGGGCTAAAATAGAGAATGAGAGAGGAAGAAAAGCCTCTTTGTATTCACACCTTAGTTTGAAACCACAGCCACAACAATGCTTAAGTTTCCATGCATCATTTGTTTGTCATTGGTGACTGTGAATGTGTTTATTTGTGTCTATTTGTGTGTCAGATGCAGCAGCAGTGTGGACACAAAGAAAAAGTAGAAAGTTCAAGACAGGAATCAAGAGTTTATGAAAGTATTTACTGCAAGGCTTTTGTTTTGAATTAGTTTTCTTGTGTCAATCCTCCTGTATATGTAACAGTATATATGTAGTATGTGTACAGGGGCTGGACACACCATTGTTTCAGGGGATCATTTATTTAACTGTCTGGTAATTTTCTATGTGTCAAAACTGCAGCTACACATGTAATATTAACAACAACCAACATTTTTAGTCTTGTGGTCAACAGCATGTTGACCTTGATGACGGCCACAAACCAAGTGAAGATCTGACAGATATTGCTGTATTTTTAACCCTGTAGGTTGTCTTACTGTTTAACTGTTTTCTGTCTCCATACACTTTGCAAGTAGGTTGGGTTGTACCGGATACCTCCACTCTACGTCAGTCATTGTTTGATGCCAGAGTCTGTGGCGTTGTACTGGACTGTGTCTGTCACTGTTACTGAGAGTCTTTTCACCACTGAACATGGCATCGGCCAGGATTTCTTTCTGTTGACCACCTCGGTATTTTTGTTACATTACTGCAAGGGAAAAACCTCAGACACTTTTTACACCTCCAGGTGAGCGTGTGTCTGTAAAACTGTGAGCGTGTTGCTCTGCTACTGCCTTTCAGCAGCACCCTGAAAAGAAGTGAAGTGAGTTTAGAGGATGGATGGTGTGACCACAACCACCTCCCTGGCTCTGTGTGCTGTGCTCTTCCTGCGTAAGTGACTGACATTAAGAGTGGGAGGGTCATCACTGATGATGTGGCGCTTCTGAATTGGTTGGCTTGCAGAATGTTTAAGATGGCTCCTCTGTCTTTGTGTGTGGCAGAGGAAAATGGCTGCTTAACCAAGTGGTAACAACGTTAGCTTTTGATTTGGGGCCACTGGCTCTTATACTGTATTTACTGACATATTACACATAAACCATTTATAATTAAAGGCTTTTTGGGTTCAGTACTTGTCCTCAAATCACACAAAAATGGTTGTATTGTAAATCATATTTTTGTCATTTGATTTTGATGGCAGTGATATAATCGGAGCATATAATAATGTTTTGATAAAACACGTGTCACACGTGTCTCCCAACAGAAATAGACTGAGAAAAAAATCTGTTGATATTCATATTCACATGATAGCAGTATCATTTCATAAAATTGACACCATCAACTATATTTCTATGAATATGACAGACATGAAAAATTATAAATATATATTTTTTTACCATTTTTAGCAGCTGTATGTGGAGACAGTGATACTTTAGTGACATTTCCAATCAAAAATAAATCAGAAATTAATTAAAAATGACGAGAAATCCAACATTCCAGTAACCTGCAAACTCTATGTAGAGAGAGAGAGCTGCATTAGCAGCAACGCAGCAGAGACGCAGCCGGTATGAAAACACATGCGTGCCTCTCCGCAGCAGGTCAGCGGCGGCAGCTGCCACGCTCAAGCAACGCATGCAGTGTTCCCAGTGTAAGAACTACTGCAGTGTGTTATTCATGTAGCATGATGAAAAGCTTCCCATTAACTGTAAAGACCCTGAACACCCATTCGAGAGTTCTCAACTACACGGGCTGAACGGACCTCTAGTGAGGTGGAGGCTGGGTGGAGCTGTAAGGGGAAAGACATGGTGTCATCAAATTCGATGCACTACTGAGAATGATAACAGTGTATGTTGTCCCACACTAAACAGACACAGAGGTCTAATTAAACAACATCAATAAAAACACCTGTAGACTTTAGGTGTGCAGAGGCTTTAATCATAGTTCATTTACCATCACAATATTTTTCTTACCTTAAAAAAAAAAAAGTGGCATTGAACTGAAATCATCATCACTGAACTTGAGGTTTTGTTTGGCAACAAGTCTCTAAGCTTCTTTTGATTTTATTGTTTTCTGTGTTTGGTCGGCTTAATGGATCAAACTTAGAGCAAACAATGACATAAGTAAATCATGTTGACATGTGACAGGAACAATACCCATGCGTCAATCATATTTTAGCATTTCTGGACACCTGGCTGCAACAATAAATATGGTAGTACAACAGTGAGGTGATACTAATACATGACCCCCACTGGTGAAAATTACACATGGATGGTGATATTTGACCATGTTAGTGAGTATATGGTGAAAAGCCCATTAATTATTGTGGAAATATAAAGGAAAATGTTGTGAAGAAGATTGTTTTGGATTACTGCAGTTCACATCAAATCATCTGCTGAGTTTTCTCCCAGTGTCAGATATAGAAACCCACCATGAAACATGAAACAAAAGCTCATTGTTGGTGTTGTTTCATGTGTTTAGGCTGGAAAGATGGTTGAAACGATTTCCGCTGTGGTGGTATACTAAACAACAACCTAACGAGAGGCCAATCAGATTGCTCTCACATTGTCCCCTCCCACTTCAAATGACTACATTAAGGCAAATCATCTTAATAAAGGGTTTAGATTAACTCCGGGTTTAAGTGGATTAACAGGAAAATGCTGATCATATTCCATCTACTGCTGTTACTCAGAGCGGGACGTAAGTATATAAAGTCAGCTTTTTTCCATATTCTGGAATATATGTTTTGAGCTTATAATCATCTTCTTGCATCAGTTTAGCACTGGGCATTAAAGGATATATATCTGTTATTAATCACTTCTCTATTTACTTGTATTTTTAGGATGCACCGATGATCTGATCTTTGAGTCAAAGACTGTTGGTGTTGGAGATGATGTGAAGTTGACGTGTACCCGCCCGACATCTGATTATGACATCAGCTTATTTTGGATCAGGCTCGTTTCTGGGAAGTTCCCTGAAATCTTGGGAGGAACATTTGCATTTGATTATGATGGTGTTAATGACATTCCTCGCATTACAGCAAAACAGGAGCCTGGAACTTTTCTTCTGCATATTAGTGAAGCAGAGCTAAGTGATACTGGAGTTTACTACTGCATGAAAGTACAACAGATTGACATGAAATTTGTAACAGGAACATATCTGAGAATTAAAGGTAAATACAGTTTGCAGAAATTTCACATTCATTAGAAAATGTAATTACCATGTTAAACAGCAGTTTAATTTTCCTAAATGTTCATACAAAGATATATATTTCTGTAATCTATGGGCAAGTCTTTAAATTAATATGTTTAAATAATTTTCTTTTAATTTTATTAAGCAAAGCATGTTTATTTTTGTGTTTGTATTTCCCAGGACCAGAACCTGATATCACTATGGTCATTCAAGTCCCTCCATCCAATCCAGTCCGTCCAGGAGACTCAGTGGCTGTCCAGTGTTCAGTCCTCTCTGACTCTGAGAAGACAACATGTCCAGGAGATCACAGTGTGTACTGGTTCAGAGCTGGAGCAGGTGAATCTCATCCCAGTTTAATTTATGCGCATGGAAACAATGATGATCAATGTGAAAAGAGTCCTGAGGCTCCGTCGACACAAAAATGTGTCTACAACTTCTCAAAGATCGTCAACTCCTCTGATGCTGGGACTCATTACTGTGCAGTGGCCACGTGTGGAGAGATATTATTTGGAAATGGAATGAAACTGGACATTGAAGGTAACTGCAGAGTATTTCAATATAATTGTGAAATTTGCATATTTCTATATTTAATTTTTGAATCTGGTGGAATCAATTAAGATCATGTATCACAAAATAGTTGCTTCTATTGAATTTTCACATCTTATCAAATCACAATTAACCGTCATTAGTTGCTCCTTATATCATTACAGAATTGTGGGATTTGCAGAAGGCCAGTACAGCTCTGTTATGTGCTACTTTGGCTATAAGTCTGATTGTTATTGCCTTCCTGATTTATATCATCAAGAAGAAAACTTGTGATTGTTACAAAGGTAATAGACATTTCTTATCAAACTGGATTTTGCAAAAGACAACTTCACTTGATTTACATTACTCCTTTGTGTAAATCTTAAATCTTAAATCTACAGCTGCAGATGCTGCAACAGGCAGTGGTTACCAGTGAAGTCAGCAGGTAAGGTCTATAAAGAAAAGCTGTAGCTGAATTTATTAGCATATTTTCTCCTTGCATGTTAATGCTATAAAATATTTCTGCCTTATAACCTTCTTAATGATATATGTTTTCAGAGAGTTGAAGACCCATTGGTTTATTCTGCTGCAACCTTCACCAGGAGGAAAGCTGGCAAAGCAGAGAGAAGGAAAGAAAAAACGGCCAAGGGAGAGACAGTCTACACTGACGTCAGGGCTTTTGTGACAGATTAACAATCCAGTCAGTTGTCTTGCTAATTAAAGGAGCTATTTGTAAGTTTTGCTATTGCTACATAGCCAGCGTTGGTATTAACAGCTGTTTACTTGCTAGTCTTCCGGAGAGCTTCAGCCATTGTTGCGCTTACAATACAAGAAGTTATAATACGTCCTCTGAGCGGTGCTACTTCTTCAGGGCAGACTGGACGCTACAGGGACTCAGTATCAGAAAGTGACGAGACGGTCTCACCGCACCATGGCTAGCTAGTTAGCATGCTAACTTCAGTAGTTTTAAGTCACATTTTTGAGATTTTTTTTACACCTTGGTTGTTTTCATCTATGTAGTTTAACCAGATAAAGGATTTTAGTCATCGGTCATCTGTTTGGCAGCTCAGATCCCAGCCCCTCCGACACGTCCTGTGTCCGCCAAGGAGCGTCGGTGAATTAGTGATTTTTAATGTGAAACTGCTTTATTCGTTGTTTCCACCAGTTTAAATTCCCTGGCCCATTTGTTATGGAGGAGGACGCCTCTGCGGATAATTCGGCTCCCAGTAAAAACCTCCTGACCAACTGACACTGAAGGAATCCTAAGTGGGAGAAGCTTACAGTAATGGTGGTGAAGACTACAACTCCCATGATCCCACGCTATTTCACATCACTGTGGCCTCTTTTGCGCCTTATTTACAAGAAACAAATTAAACAATCTTTCTAGTGCCAAACTGTTTCTGCTGGCAGCATCTGTTACTATTATAAATATATATTATTATTATATATATTTATGTTATTTATTGAAATAACAATATAAAGAAAATAAACAATGTTTCTTTTCTCATGTTTTGTAGTTACTGCTGTACGAATGAAAAATGCAAGTTTGTGTGGACACAAACACACAAAAGACACAGATCTCCCCTGCAGCTGTGAACTCAAGAGCATGATAGACTTTTACATATCGTGGGTGTGACTAACATGTTACCATTTTTTCTTTATCTTCTTTTCTATTTCCCTGACTAAAGACTGTCCATCTTGTGTTTTACAAGCCATTTTGCCTCCTAAATAAATCTTGGTGGTCTCATTCAGACTGTTACATAGTCTTGTTTGTTCATCATTCCCAGATGAATCAGGTTCATAGACCCATCATAACAGATGTTTTGTCATTGCAGGGAAAGAGAGAACTACTAACATTAACCATGGAGGTGAGAGAGAGAGAGAGAGAGAGAGAGAGAGAGAGAGAGAGAGAGAGACTAACAAAAAGCCATAGGGACCATTAATATTCTGCATGTGTGACTTGAGAACAAGTGAAACCAAATGCAGCAGCTACACGCACAGACACAGGTTGTGGTGGGCCATTTCTCCACACTCTGACCAGTTTACTCAGAACAGACCTGACTATGAGCTTCAACAGGATATGAAGTGAGGTGCTACATACTGTAAGAGCTACATAAGCTTCAGCAGGCTAATTCTAGTTGAACAAACTCTAACGGTTGTTTTAGTTTTACTTGCTTGTTAATGTGCTCATTCAAAATACAAGTGTGTCTGTCTTGTATTTGTTTAAAGATGCAACAACAGGCATCTACAATTATATACATCTCTGATCTTAAAATATTCAATCATATTATTATTTTGCGTTTTTTTTTTTAATGCAAATGTATTGATACGTTAACTGTTTATTTAAACAGGCTGCCAGTCCATCTATCACCATGTAATGCACATGGAAGTAGACTTTAACAAGGCCACCAAACCTATTTGTTGATTATGTGACAAACTAAACTTAAGATCACAGTACAAACTGCTACTCTTGCCAAAAGAGACAGGGACAAGTGAATGATCAGCACCTCCCCCCTCTCACAGGAGCTACCAGAGAAAAGCATCAAACCGCAGAAAAGTGCGATTAAAAATTATCATGACATAGCATGACTGAGCAGGTCATGCTAATCAGAACAATAGTACAGCATACTGTGGTGGTATTCAACTGGCCTTTTTAAAAACTTGAAAACAGTGGTACAAGTCCAGCTTCCTGGGGCTAAAATAGAGTGTGAAAGAGGAAGAACAGCCCCTTTGTATTCACACCTTATTTTGAAACCATAGCCACAAAAATGATTAAGTTTCCATGCATCACTTGTTTGTCAGTGGTGGCTGTGAAAATGCTGTTTGAGGTTTTGAAGGTGGCTTCTCTGTCTTTCTCTATTACTGTACTCACTATAAATACTAAAAGTGCGAACTGACTAAGCCCTGACAAAAAATGTGAAAAAAAAAAATCTATCTGCTGTTTTGATTTTACAGCCTTTAACTTTACTGTTTTAGTTCACTCTCACTGCTCTTATCAGAGTTGATACTATGTTCACCAATTAGTTATAATTATAATAATTAATAAACTAACTGCATGCTACCTTGCCAGCACAAAACAGCAGACTGACGAAAGTGAGCGACTAGCTGTTGAACACAGTGGATCATTTAGCAGCTAAAGAGCTGTTTTTGTAGGAAGCTGGTGGAGACCAAAAATCTGAGTTAAAGCAAGAGCGAATACTGGATGTTGGACTTCCATATGCCAGGTCACCAAATGCTAACGCTACTCCATATCTGATGGAAATAGGCAACTGTTGGCTAACACATTGGTGGTAACATTAAGAAAGGGTAACTGGTCAGTGTTGTTTCGCCCCATAAAATTAGTTAATGCAGATTTAACTGAGAACTACAGATTTCAATTCTTTTGCTAAACATAGGCCTTTACATTTACACATACTGTACATATTACATTACAATAGATTTGGTTTTAAAGGCTATTGGTATCAAGCCCCCTCTGAAAAGATCTACCTGATGATAAAAGAGTTCATTGTAAACCTTATCTTCTGTCTGTAGAGTCAGTTATACCAAAAGATGGCAGTGATGAAAATGAGTGAGCAGATTTTATACAATTTGTAAGTGTTAGAGCCATGATTTAGCATTGCTAAAGCACTGAACATACAACCCAATGTCCAGTACCATGGCAGGAAGTAGTGCACCAGTCAACTGGCATGCTAAAATGTTCAACTTTCATCACTTTCAGTTAATTTGCCATTATCATAATCATCCCCTAACCATAACCAAGTAGTTTAAATTACCTTACCTTAAGCTTAAGGGAGAGATAAATAACCAATAAATAAATAAATAAAGCGCACATTGAGCATTTGAATCACTGAATCACTGCATCACTGAACATAATCTTGGGTTTGTAGAATCACTCAGCAACAAAGTTATGACATTACCACACCCCATGAATCACAAAAAGCACCTGCAGTCTATTTTAGGGCTTTTAGAAACTAGGTTACATACCCCACATAGTACAGTGAATGATCACAAAACGAAAACCTGCTACATTTCCTCCCATTTGTGTTCAGGAAAATAACACCACTCAACTTCTCGACTACTCATGACAAAAAGATCTAATTATATATCACTTGCAGAAATACATCCAAACATTAGAGATTTGTTTGCATCAAGATCAAATGACATCAGAGCCACAAGGTAAAGATAACTTCTGTTTTTATTAATTTTGCCAGCAGAGATATTGTAAACTGATCTCTTGTGTTAACTGTTATAGTTTCAGTTATAGAAACCCACCATGACACATGAAACAAAACTCGCTGTTGATGGTGTTTCATGTGTTTAGACTGGAAAGATGGTTGAAATTATTTCCTCTGAGGTAAAACTGTTAAATGCTAACATAACGAGAAGCCAATCAGATTGCTCTGAAATTGTTTCCTCCCACTTGATATGATTATATGTAGATGAGTCACCGTATTATATGGTCTAATTTTCAGCAGTCTCAAGTGGAATAACCCTAAAATGTTGATCATATTGTATTTACTGCTGATGCTCAAAGTGGGGCGTAAGTATATGTAGATTGTCTCTGAATTTGAAGTATCGTCATCCTTTTACAGTAATATATAAGATGGATTATATGATTTTTCACTGCTCTGTTTGTCTTTTCAGGATGCACAGACAAGCAGATCTTTGAGACAAAGACTGTTTGTGTTGGAGATAATGTGACCCTCACATGTGCTCGCAAGGGTTCAGGAAGCTTGTTTTGGATCAGGATTGTTTCTGGAAACTTTCCTCAAGTGTTGGGAAAAACATATAGCTTGGAGTCTGTTGATCCTCGATTTAGAGTCACTGAAGAGCTTGGAACATTTGTTTTGTCTATTAAAAAAGCAAAGCTAAGTGATGCAACAGTTTACTTCTGTATGAAAATACATCAACAGAACTTTATATTTTTAAATGGAACAGACCTGAGAGTTGAAGGTAAACACAGCAAAACAAAGCATTTTTCAGATTCCTTAAATATGGCTTTATTTTAAATAATTATGTTGAAATGTGTTTTTTGAATAATATAATATATATTTTTCGGTATCCCAGGAGCAGAACCTGATGTCACTGCAGTCCCTACACCTGATCCAGTCCATACAGAAGCCTCTGTGTCTCTGCAGTTTTCAACCCTCTCTGACTCAGAGACAAAACTGTGTCCAGAAGAAAAGTGTGTGTGCTGTTTTGGAGCAGGAGCTGAATCTCACCCAAGTTTTAATTATACTCAAGGAAACAGTGTTTGTGGATATGACAAGAATCCTGAGGGACTCTCAACAAAGAAATGTATATGCACCTTCTTGAAGAATGTCACCTCTTCTGACGCTGGGACTTATCACTGTGCTGTGTCCACGTGTGAACAGATAATTTCTGGAAATGGATCAAAACTCGATACCAATGGTAACTGCATCATATTTCTACATAATGAGGAAATTAACATATGTGTGTGTTTGATGATGGTCCTGTTTGTTCTTAATATACTGTAACACCTTATCAGAAATGATAAATTCCTATTAATTACACTTTTACTAACAAGTAACTTTCATCTTCTCCCTCTTTCATGTTATGTAAGCAGAAAGCGGTTTGCATGCGCAGAAGGACAACACAGTTCTCTTTCTGTTATGTGCTGCTTTGGCTATAAGTCTGATCGTTATAGCCTTTCTCATTTATTTAATCAAGCAACTCAAGAAAAGTTCTTATGGTTATTACGGTAAGCAAAGTCACTCGTTCATTGATCTGTCAAACATATATTTTGCAAAAATGTATTCACATTAACACCATGTTTTTATTTTATATTACAGTTGATGTTGCTCTACAAGCAAATGCAACAGCCAGTGCTAATCAGGAAAGTCAGCAGGTAAGATTTAGTGTATAAAGAAGAGATGCAGCTGAAAAGTTATCATCATGTTTTTCTCTCTACTTGTGTAAATATTAACTTCACTATCCATAATGTTTCCCCAGACAGATGAGGATTCACTGGTTTATTCTGCACCTACCTTCACCAGCAGACAAGCTAGAGCTAGCAAAGCAGGAACAAGAGATACAAAAACAGCCGAAGAAGAGAGTATCTACACTGATGTCCGTGCTCTTGGGTTGGATAGATAATAGTAATAATCTCAAATAGTCTAAAAACACTCCATTTGCTTATTGATAATAATAATTTTGTCTTCACACTGTGAGGGTACATTGAAATTTTATTTCACCTCTAAAGTCAGTAAAATATACAGTACCCGTCAATGGTTTGGACACACTCTCCCATTGGGAAAGTGATATTTGACCTATTCCTGAATATATTTGACATATATTTAACCAAAAAAAAATCTTTTTGACATTATATGTAGTTATATTTATTGTACCAATAGACCAATGACTATATACTTCCCTTTCACTGTACAAACATGAAGCCAAAATATCTGCACAGTCATGATCGGCGAGTGGAGCCACAGTATCAAGGTCCCACCTATACACCCACTAGACCCAATCACAAGTCAGTCACAGCTGTCAATCAATCATGACGTTACACTCACTTTTTATAAGCATCAAATAACTAATTAAACCCAAACGTATCATGAAAAGTAACACTTGAACATACATCAATGTGATAAGAGTTACCTCAAATGACAGAAACCATGTTTGGGAAATTTTTTTTGATATACTTTGATTTATTAGTTTGGCCCATATCCCATCCACTAACACAGAGAGGGCGGGGTTTATGACCTATACTGCAGCCAGCCAACAGAGGGCGATTAGTTGTTTTGGCTTCATTGTTGGGGAGCTGTGATGTCGTCGATCTTTGTATATAGTCATTGCAGTAGAGCTATGCAGTAGGGATCACAAAACTGAGTTTTTATCAAAGTTGAGAAACTTATGTCCTTTTGTATATGTATTTGTAAGTCTGTAAACATCTTCCATGTATCAATGCCATGCCAAGCTAATGTACTGACAGGACATGGTGGGTGTGTAAATGTGTTGCTTCCTTCATAAAAAATAAATAACAAGAGATATCAAACCTATAATGAAATCACAAGTTAAACTTAAATTTTAATGCACCATTTTCTAAAACTTTGTGGTGTTTTTTTTTTGCTTATACATAGCCATAAATGATTCATCTTATATAGTAGAATGATATGTTACAACATGATTATTTTTGAAACCACCTCTGTAGGGAGCTTGAAAGTATTGCTTAATGAATAAATGCAACATGATATAAATAAAAAACTATTAAAATAATAACTCAGGGAGTCATCATATAACATTACCAGTTTTAATATTACTGACTGACTGAATATTATATGCCAGTGATGATGTGTCCCAACCCCTTCAGTTACTGCAGTAGCCTTATTCAGCTGTGCTCACAAGATTACATAGAATATGGAAAATTGAATTTTCCTTAAAGTACTGCTGCTATATACTGTATATCATTTACACCAATGTAGGACCATTGCAATACTATAATCTCAATAAAATAATTAGATTCTGGAGAACCCACAACTGAACCATGAGGTACTCCAAAGGGAATGTTTTCTTAAAAGTTCAGTTAATATGTTCAAGCCTGGTCTTTGAAACTTATTACAGACATTCATGGTGCTCAGAGAATGAATCCTAATAACTTTGGTGCTTCCCAAGCACCACGAGGTTCAAATCTGTGGCTTTAACTGAAATGTATCAATGGCTATTCAATGAATTGCTATGAAATCTGGTACACATTAATGCCCCACTCATGATGAATTGTAATCATTTTTTGTGATTTCCTGACTTTTCCTCTGCGTCTTTTGTTCATGAGTAAATACCTGAGAGACTACTGACATTCCCACCAGCCTCAACTGTACTTGAGTGCAAATGTGTGAACGTTTACATGTCAACATACTAAACTAAGATGGTGAACATGGTTCATCAGCACGTTAGCATGTAGAGCACTGGTGAACGTAGTGTTAGTATTGTATCGTATTATCTAGTATTGTGTTTGTGACAGTCTTAGGTCAAAGAACTAGACAAGGATGGAAACCACACAGGATCTTATGTAAGTTAACCAATATTTTATTCACAACTAGGACAAAGCTGTAGGTCAGTGGCGGTTTCTATGTGGTTGTTATTTAACCTGTGGAGGGAATAAACAGATGACAAACAAAATAAACATGTAATCGACACAAAAGAAAATGAGCTAGTAAATTGGGATTTCTTACGCTAACAAATCATTGGCATCTACTTCATTTTTCACATCTGTAAAATATGGAGCTTTGCATTGTGGGATTGAAAGTAGCGTACATGTCATGGACACTACATCTTTTCCTCCATTTGGGAATTGTTGGGGGCATTACACTTGCACACTCAAAATTTGGACACTCAAATAAAATGGTGGACGCTGTAGTACATGGTATGGTAAATAGTAGCTGCGTCTCAGGGCCACATCCTTCAAAGGCTGCATTTAAAGACTCCTTAAAATGCGACAGAGAGATGTGTCCTTCATTTCCCAGGAAAAGAAGGATTGCGCACCAGTGATGAATCACTTTTCAAAGAGAATAAGACAGTCTCCACAAATCAAACAGCGGCTGAGGATAAATAGGAAATGCTCCGTAGATCAGACCATCTCATTTCTATGTAGTCTTTGGAGGCCACGCCTTCCTAGACCGAAGGCCCTATTGAATTGAGACACATCTTAAGTCTGTTGTTTCATTTGGGAATTGTTGGTAGCACTATATAGTGGATACATTTACACACTCAAAATTTGGACACTGAAGTGCAAGATATAGTAATAAGTGGATTACTTCAGAGACGACCTGACTCTCTCACTACCACTGGATAATTGACTCAAATGACTTTACCTCAGTGTGCAATTGCTGTCACTGAGTGTTGTCCTGTTTTGAATTGAGGGAAACTTCAATGAGAAACCTCAATGAATTTAAAGGTTTAAATAGAGGTAAATTGTTGAATGAACAGTTGAATGAACAGTTGAATTGAATGAATGAAAATGTATTTTTACAGTATGTTTGATCTAACTCATTGTTCTCATCTTATCAATCTTTTCTGACTTCACAACTTCTTTGAGCAAAACACCTCCCTATTCTGAGGACAAAAGCTGGGCATTGCCTAAAAAAGATGAAAAGCACTCCTAAATGAGAGTGTATGTTGAAGAGTCCACAAAATTCTGAGAAACAACAATCTTTGACATTATCATTAAAATGAGTGAGTGGATGGACCAGAATGAGGTCATATGTTTCACAAAGACCTGAATGAGAGCAGTGTGGCAGGAAGTGTCCTTTTGAGTATCTGTGATAACCAATCAGATGCATTTGACAGTGTTCATATTGGATGTAACATCAGCTCCTTTACTCACTGAGATACCAGTGAGGTTCCTTGCAAGAGACAATGTCAAGATGATCCTGTTATGGGTTACATTGCTTGCTCTTCATCAAGTATGTAAGTAATCTAAACTAGTGATCTAATTCTGTGTATGAAGTCAATGATGACTTAACATGCCAACTGGATGTGTGGAGGTTATATTATGTTTTTGCAAGATAAATAATCTACATCTTTGTTATTTACAGTTTCATGTATTAAATGTTTCATTTAATTCAGATTCGCTGGTTCCAGTGATCACAGTTCAACTTGGTGAGCCTGTGACTTTCACATGTTCTATGCCTAATGTTGAGATCAGCCACAGGACACTCTACTGGTACAGGCAAAGTGCCGGGGATACTCTGAAATTAATTGTGACACAGCGGAAATTTGGAAAACCTGAATTTACACCAGAGTTTTCTGAGTCCAGATTGGAGGTAAATACTGCTAAAAATTTCATCAACCTGACCATAATGAGGACGACTCAAGAAGATGAGGGAATGTATCACTGTACAATCGCAGAGTGGATTAGTAATCCTGTATGGAGTGGGACATATCTGTTACTATAGTCAGAGTTTAGTGTCTAGTTTTGTTTATAGCCATTTGTTTGTCACTCGGTCCGAGGTCTCCGGTGAATTCAATAAAAGCCTTTTTGTTATCTAAAATCTCTGCATCTGAGTCCTGCTTTGAGTCTCGGCCTGACAGCTGTCGTATTCACCTTGATGAGAACTACCAGTTGTGAAATACAGGATGCAAAATCAGCAGAGAGAGAGAGGATCTACGCTGCTGTGAAGGCTTTTGGTTTGGATTAGTGAGTTACATGTCTGTTTTGCAACATTTGGTATTGTATGATGTGGTTTATGTGAGTGGGTTTAGAGCTAAAGGGTTTGTTAGTCTAACTTCTTTTTGTGGCTTTCATTTATCAAACCACTTCATTTTGTTCCCTTACCACCAGATAGGCTAACTGACTCCCTCTTACACAACTTTGACCACTGCATTTTTATTGTTATTCCTATCATTATTATTACTACCTCTTATTATTATTATTATTATTATTATTATTATGATTATTATAATCATAACAATGTTGTTGTTATGCTGTTGGGCTATTCACTTATCTTTATACATGCTTCACACAGAAGAAACTTTAACTGATCATCATCATCACTTGTTTTGATGACTCTGCCTTAAAAAGTATGGTTTTTTTTAAAAAAAAAAAAAAAGAAATAATCCCGTGTAGCCCACTGATTCTAAAATGATTTAAAAACTAGCAAGCTAATGCACAGGAAATAGATCTCGATCAAATGTGTGAGTGAAGAGTACCTGAAGTTATCGCAGCCAGGAACAGGTTGCAGTATAATGTTGTTAAAAGGCTGTGTCTTGTGTTCACTACTGCAGAGGAAAGTTTCTGATGGTTTCCAACTAGTAATCTCACTAAAACAGAAATAACTGATATCTCATTGTGGAAGGCGACTAGAAGGTCTGGTTGATTATAACACTTTCTCGATGTTTTTCTAAAACATTTCCAACACTGAGATGGTTTATTACCAACCCAGTTTGTATTTATTATTTTTTGCTGTAGACTGTGTAGTCCAATATATCCATTAATTTAGACCAGACATTCTAATTCTGTTTAAGTTCTGTTTGGATGATCTGGCTGGATTTTTATTTAAATTGATTTCAGGGCAAAAGAGAGATTGACTGCTGGGTGAGCTGGATTAACTTTTGTGAGCAATATAGAGACAATCAAGTCAGGCAGGAATTTTCAGCTCTACTTCCTGTCTTACCTACATTGGTTTCTAGGTTTTTCTAGTCTCAATAGGAAATGCATTTGCAGGGATGAAATTACACAGTGACTACATCTGCAGTCTAAAACTCTCAGTTGTCACAGCTGTTTAGAATGGACCAGTTGTTTAAGTGGGAGGGCTCAGGCCTATTACGCCCACCCACAACACCGTGCCTCGTTCTCACATATTGATTTAATTCTTATGCTTTCATGATTGGTTGAACTCATGAACAAGATAAAAGTTACGCACCGCAGGTTCAAAGACCTAATAAGTTAGTAGAGATAAACCGATCCTATCCACTGATTCAGTATTGGCATCAATATATTAGGTAGACCGAATATCAGAAAGATCTAGAGATTTAAAGTTAGAGAAAAATAATCCATACCTAATTACTCTTCCATTTTTGTGTTTCAGTATTTTTTGGGCATTATATGAATTCTTTTTACAGACAGATACCTGGAAATGTAGGAGATATTAATTTTGATCAGTATCCATATTAGTCAGTGCCCTGCATTGTAACCAGTATCAGGAGATAGAAAGTCAGATCAGAGGATTTTGGACAGCAAATTTATTTCATCATTACGCATAAAGCTTCTTTGGTGTCTTTGGAGACAGACACCACATGACTATAAAGCTGTTGTGAGTAAATATCTTTAGAATTTATGCATGTTGCCTTTGTTTTTTGTTTTTTTTAAGTGACCATGCAAACTATGAACATGACTTGGAACAAAGACAAACTATATCAATAAAAAAAAAAAGATTTGTCTGCCAAAATGTTGCTACAGCTGTGATCTGTCATACATAAAATGTGTTGTTTATTCTGGAGATTTCCAAAAACTTTCTGAAATCCATCTGATCACATGTTAGGTGTAGATTGGTCCTAAGACGTCCTCGTTTGTTCAGTGTCACTTTGAACAGTTTGTGAGAGTCGTTCTGAAGCTGGATCATAGGAGCCACATGTCCCTA